TGTGATTGTGTCGATCAAATCCACTAGAATGGTTCATTACTGCATGTTTGTTTCATACTGCTTGCATGAACGCATTTGCACCCTGCACCCTATTGTTCACTTGTGAGCATATCCCTTCTTGTGCTCATAGTTTACGTCTAAGCCCCAATTTGGACCGTAACTTTGTGCCTACCTTGTGACATCCACATGTCACTATGCACTATGTCCCTAGTTTTTGCACTCTCACTCATGCACCTAAACATTGTTTGTTTGCAAAACATCTTGTATGTTCATGACTTGCATGCTTGTGATCTTCCCGAGTCATTGTTTTTGCACACTCACTTTTGACACTCACGTGTCCGTGTCGGAGATGGCTTGCACATCAAATTCATTCGGAGCATAATTCTCTAAAATGAGTTACATTACCTCACCTCCTATGACATCACTTTGGAATGAAATAGGTGTTTTCTTGTTTCACTGCTTCTTGCACACTCATCTTTGACATTCTCATGTCTTCTTTAGGGATGAGTTGCACATCAATCCTACCCAATGCATAATTCTCCCTAACAAGAATTGTGCTATCTTACTTCCTATGACATCACTTGATGTATCATAGGTTTGTCACATCATTCCACTTGACATGGATCACTTCCTAAAGGCCTCTGAATCCTTTAAGTGCAAGATATGTGTCCACATAGGCACATAGATACCACCTGATATGGATCAAGCTCCAAAGGCCTTTGAATCCATTCGGTGTACAAGTCATGTTTCCCACAAAACTACCTTGGTATTTCATATGTGTTGCATGTGCCTGTTACTTGTGTGTGCACTTAGTTATTATAGGAGAAAGATGTAATCCATTGTGACGTCATGTACCATAGGTAGCCAAGTACCACTTCTCCCACGTGATGTGCTTTGCGTTTGCATTTCCACATTGTCAGCGCATTCTTCATTAGTATATGTCGGGTATACTTATGATGAATGTTTGTTATCTCGTAATCTCTCATACTCCAACATAGTGGTCATGACACATTGGATCAATTTGCATCCGCACGTGCACTCCCGTTAGTCTCGATGATGAAACTAGCTCATTATCTGAGTGACCCATTGCTGGTCACGATGCAATAGCGAGTATTGCTCACAAGGATATCTCAGTGGGCAATACCAGCTATTGTGTCATGACTAGCACACATATGTTGTTCTAGGTTTCTAAGGGGTTTAATGGGTTCCACTTGGGCTTTTCCTCTCTTAAGCCCTATTTTAAAAATATTTAAAAATTATATTTTTATTACACATATGCATCATATTTTCAAGACTTATTTTGAAACTATTACATCCTTAGCTTAGACCATACATGAGGTCAAAACCTTTTAAAAGCTTTCTTTCATACAAAACTTGCATATGGTGACACCTCTTAGAATCCTTGGATCCTTAGGATAGGGTTGATAATGGTGACCCCATCAAAACATGAGCCAACCTTTCATCCACTTTTGCACACATTTAGATATTGTTACAAGGAAACTATGTGTTAGATGGTGTGTTAGGCTAGGACTAGGGTGATAGTTATTCTTTTTGATGCCCTGGCTATAGTTCTTTGTTGGTTATGTTGCTCTAGCCAGGCATCACTTTGTGTGATAGGTTTGTGTGTTTACTGGGGTGTGAGACATGCGCATTAGTATGTTAGCAGTAGTTTTCTTGTAGGAAGCCATGTCCAACAGGGAGGAGCTGTAATAATTTACACTAATGCATTTTCTGCATGTGTTGCTAAGTTCTCTTCCCAACAGGCATGGCTTACTATGTTGCATGCCTATAACTTATGTTAACCCTGCTATTTTGCAGCTCAAGTTATTTTTTATATTTTACCATGCACTTTTAAGAGTCCTTAGGTAGAGTTTGTGCTAGAAATAAGGTAAAAGCATGGGTTCTGGGATGCCTGATGGGTAGAACCACGTGATGGGGACCAAAAGCAGCAGGTTCGTGTCTCGTACCTTAATTACGATTTCTCATTTTTGTATAGAATTAGGACCAGGCTTGTATATGCGGTGTCTGATCCCTTTTTTTCTCTTTTTTGGGATATATTATTTAATCAGTGGCACCAATCTTTTATTTATTTTAGTTGATGTGCTTTTACTTTCTATAATGTGATTGACTTGACCTTGTCGTTACTTGCTCGTTGATTGGCTGGGAATCATGTGCATATAACTTAGGCTCTCTAAGGACCTAATAATCTAAACTTTCTACTAAAATCATAATAAAAGAAAAGATTAAGATTAATCAAATTCAAATTTTAGGATTAAAATATTTCAAGATTTTAAAAATCTATATTTGCTTTCCTGCATGGCCTTTGGGTCGGATTTTAAATGGGTTGTATAGCATGAGCATAACCCAAGTCATATTAATATGGCGTCCACATTAGGACTTGTGTATATAACTGCATCATATTACATGTCCCAAGGAGAAGACCCCGTATTTCTTCAACCCAATTAGCCCAGCATAAATTTCTACTTATGTGGTTTTCTAGCATGCTTAAGGTGTTAAAGACTTCCCCGACCCAGATAGGTTATAAATCATTTGTTGGAGTGTTTCCAGGCTCGTAGCTGAACCTCTCTTTTCACTTCCTTCTAGCTGCTTCCTTGCCATTTTGGTAAGGATAAGCCCCACATCAACTTTCTACCTACATAGGATCATAGGACTTAGAGTTTCCCTTTTTTGACCTTAGGGCTACCGAGATCTTCTTGGACGAAGTAATTCATGGGTTCTTGACAATGGGCCTCTGTTTGGGTTGGGTCGACTGCCTTCACTACCAGAAAAACTTATGGTCTTAATAGCTTGGGATGACAGATCTGTGGTATCCTGACTTGGCTATCTCTACCTGATTAGGATTACTCTACCCCCCTTTGAGCTCTGTCGCTCATTTGACGCTTTGTCAATGTCATATTTTCGGCCCCGAGTCTGGACAGGCCACTGTCTATTTGGGACACGGTGACTCACCCTCTGTCCTTATGGCCTAGTTAAGCTTGAAAGCATAGTTTGGATCCTACGAGGTGACCTGGTTATTTGATGGGCATCGATTGCCGATGAGCCACTACCCATTTAGAATGTGAGACACTCACTCTCTGCCCTTGTGGTTTAGCGAGAGCTTTGAAAGCGTCGAGATGCTCCTATGAGATAATCATTCTTTATGACACACTTTACTAGTTGGCACTTAAATGTAAGCAGGATTTTTTAATAGAGATTATTCTTGGGTATCCCACAAGACATAATTAGCTAAATGAGATATGACCCTTTGGTAGTGCTTTGAACCCAGGATGAACACACAAATTTGGCTCTCTGATTATGGGTAGCTTATGTTGGTATGCCCTCGTGAATATTTAATTGAAGATGTCTCAATCTGATCTTGTTTTGACATACTCCTTTGAGCAATCTCGGGAGATTTACTTCACATTAGCCCTACAGGTTCTTTCTAAATCTGTCTGCCTAGTCTTCATATTAATTCCTTCTTTTCTCATCCCTCCTCTTCTCAAAATCGTTTCAACAATTCAAGTAAGAGGGTTCTTTGGAAAAGAGAATCTTAATATGTTGACTTGATAGGCTAGCGACTTCATGTTTTTATTTTTTTTAAAAAAAAAAAAAAAAAAAAAAAAAAAATTAAAACATGTATGATTTCACGCTCATCACACCTTTTAAGATGTTAAATCCAAATATATTATGTGGATCACACTTAAGGTATAGATCGTTAGACGAACGAGAGGAAGGAAAGAGAGATTAAAACAGGAAACAAAGTGCACGGTAATACAAATTTTGAGAGAATAAATTTGTAGTCATTTATAGGTTCCAAGGGTATTTCGTAAAATTACATTTTTTTCCCCTGTTTTAATAGTGACATAACAAGTAATTATTACTCCTTTTCATGTTTGTAACCGAACCGGGGACTCTTTCATTATCATAACTCACACTGGCACTTTTTGCACTCATAATTGATTAAAGAGGGGTATTTAATAACTTGTTAATCTTTTCATTCAGTCGGCATAACTTCAGTCGATTGAGAGATTATCGGATTGTCCTCTCAATAGAATTCTAAGTAGAGGCCCTCCCGTCATTAGGATGAACTTGGGTCGTCAAACAGAGTGTATCACTGTAATCTGATGGAGCTGCTCTCCTTGAACAAGGAGACTTCTCAGAGAATCAGAAATATGTTTCGTATGGTGCCATTTGGCCATCTTTGTGAAAAATATTGGAATCGACTGATGGAATTTGTCACGATCGACTACTCCTCGTATTAGGTGCATTCTATTCATTTGTTTGATTGTGCTTCCGTTTGGTCAGCTCAAACTTCTAACTTAAGGAAATGACGAGCAGTGTTTCGATTTTTTGAACATCTCGATATCCTGTCCTTTCGTGTTCATAAGCGAGACCTGTTGGATTTCCGCAAGATTCATGTGATGTTATTTTTTATTTAGATGAAAATACTTTCAATAATTGCTACTACTTGCTCTTTTCATAATCGTATATGGACACCATAAGAATTAATCTCAGTATTGCCCATGAATATTATTTCAATGGTATATTAGAGCCTGGATGGGCCAATTCCATAGATAAGTTTCTCAAAACACTACACACTCCACAAAGTTCATCATTCTTCCCCAAAACGTTTGCTATTAAACCAACAACAAAAAGAAAAAAAAAATTCATACACAATAGAAGAGATATATTTCACTCGAATACTCTTATTTAATTTATAAAATCAAAAGAAGCAAACAAAAAAAAAAAAAGAAATTATCTATGATAAATCAAGCACTTAATTAAGCTTCTATTAGTCGCGAATATGAAAGAACACTAGACCCTGCTACACAACGGCTAGTCACCATTTTATTTTCTTAAAAGGCAATTACACACATACCACCCCCTGAAACTTGCTATTTACAAATCAACCTCCCTCTCGTCCATTTTTCAAATTCTCACACAAATTTCAAAATTTTATCATGTTTATAGTTCAAAAAATTCAATCTTGGATGATTAATTATAAAATATCAATCTTTCGGATGATCTCTACGTAATTAAATTTTCCTTTTCTCTTTTAAATAACTAACCTCATTGCCCAATTCGATCAAGGCTGTCCGAGACAGTCCTCATTCTCGGCCGGACATCCGGATCAGTTTCAGTGCAGGCCAGCGCTACATGAAACGCAGCCACAACCTCCTTACTTCGAATCCCATTCAGCAACACCGGATCTACCCTCTCCGCCAGCGGGCAGGCCTCGTCGAACGACGTCCTCGCCCACCTAACAATCTCTGGCTCCGTCCAACTTGAAGTCGACGCTGCCGCTCCAGCCGTGCCCACCACTTGGGGAAACACGGTCTCCGGCCGGCGTCCCGTTAGCATCTCAAGCAGCACGACGCCGAAAGAGTACACATCCGACTTTTGCGTCGGCGGAGCAAATGGCAGTCTGCGGACCTCAGGCGACTGGTAGGCGTTGGGTCTGTCGAGAGCTGGGCGGGCTGTGGTAGCAGATAAAGGGAGGGCGGCGCCAATGAAACCCTTCGTGCTTGAGGATGATGGCGGAATCACTCTTAGGGTTGGATCATTTGTGGCAGAGGTGAAGGCGATGGAGATGAGCCGGGTGAGGCCAAAATCAGAGATTAAGGGATTATAATTATTGTCCAGCAGGATGTTGGAGGGCTTGATGTCGCCATGGACGAATTTCCTTGCGCTGCAATCGTGCACATAGGCGAGCCCGCGAGCTGCGCCCTTCGCAATGCGGAGCCGAATTAGCCATGGCAGGCTTGATTGACCAGATCTTCCTGTAAAATAAATTAAATCGAAGATTCATAAAATTTTTTTGCAGCGAACAATTAATTAAACTGCAGGTCGGAGTAGACTGGTATCAAACAATGTGAGATTTATATGTACATGTGGTAGGAAACGAGAGAGTATCTACGGCAATGGGATGCCGCATGCACTGATGCAAAAGAACATCTAATTAATTATTTCATGGAGGTAGCAATCAATGTTAGCAAGGATATTAGATGCCTTCTAAGATCAATTACTTTCGTTTAATTGAATAGACGTAAGTTTTAAATTAATCTGGTTAGTTGGATGATTCTGATACCTACACTCTGCACCTCGCTCAACCGCCACATGGTCTAAACTACAACAATGGTGAATCAATGTACTTAAAAAAGGAAACAACAGTGATATATATCTCATCGGCTCATTTATATTTCGAGCTCAAAAAAGTGTGTTCATTAATCATAAACAAAGAGTCGTTTTGACAACCCTAACCACGTAGCCATAAGATGTAAGGGTTTGAGTAAGATTTAAAAATTTTTGTTTATATTAAAACACCATTTGAATCTAATTTAATAATATTTATTATATTTTCTTAATTAATACTTTTAATTAATACTTTTATTTAATACTTTTATTTGATTATAAATCTTTGTAACCTTATAGTCAATTAATTTTTTTAAAAATACTACTCATCAATATATCTATATATATATAATGGATGAGTAGTATTTCGAGCTAAAACGAGCCTAGTACGAACAAACATATTTTTGTTTGTGTTCGGCTCATTAACTTAGTGAACGAGCCGAATAAGAGCTGTTCGCGATGTTTTAACAGCCCTGTCAGCCAAAAAATGAACAAAAATTTTAAGGCGAAAATCTAAACAATCTGATCTCAGCAGCCAGATCTCCAGCTTCATTGTTTTGATATGAAAACTTTCAAAAGATTTAGGGGTGGCATTGAATTTAAGAGAGGATTTAAGCGGGATTTAACATAAATCCTCCCAGATGACCATGTTGGATTTAGCAAATCAGGAAACCAGAGAATCCTGATACCTCGCGAGAAAAGAAAAATCGATAAATTATCATAGTTAATTGATAAAGATTAAATTTAATATTAAAATTTAAATGAAATTGAATTTAATTATAATTTATAGTTATATTACTAATATGTAATATTAAATTTATGTTTTAATTGACAAATTTAAAACTTGAAACTAAATTATATTAATAATGCCAATAATTCAAGCTAATGAATAATTATCGAAGAACTTTACTTAATAAACTAATAAATCAAATTTATGAGCACCTGATTTATCTTAAATAAAAAGCTAACCGGTAAATATTTATTAAACTTTTAATAGTTTAATAAATTGAAAATTAATTAATTTCTATTGTAGTAATAAAAAAATCAATGTTTTATTATGTTTCCATATTTTAACAAGCCTAACAGACTTTAAAGTCCTAACAGCAGCCGCTAAACTAATTTATAGGATTCAATTGGATTTATTGAATCCACTATCAAATAGTTTTCAACATTTAATCATTTTCGGAATTAATAAATTTGGATCTACATGATTTAATAAATCCTAATAACTAGAATCCCAATAGTTGTCAAACAACTCTTAGATTTAGTTGTTATAAGGAGTTTATTTAATCAATGAATTATCTAATTGGAGGATATAAAAGTATTGGATTGGAGAAAAATTTATGAACGTAGTCAGGGAGATTATTCAGAGAATATTGGAGGGTTATATCTGTGTTATACTTCTTGTAACCTCCCTGCAACCTACCTTTAACCTAACTATATCTTCTAATAAATTTTGTGTTTCTGTTTTTATATATTTGTAGGTTATATATAGGTTACAGCTAGATTACATGGAGGTTATGGGATATAACACAGATATAACACCCCGATAACTCCTAAATAACCTATCAGAGGTACCATAAAAAACCAAACATCACAAACTGCAATTTTGAAAACATGGTGGCAACGGAGACTGACCTCGGAGAGCGGCGGCGAGGTTGCCGTTGGAAATAAAATCGGAGATGAGAAGTTTCTCGTCCTGAGCCCAGTAGTATGCGCGGAGCCTCACCACGTTGGGGTGGCTAACCTTAGCTATGGCCTGAACCTCTGCGGCAAACTCCTTGTACCTCTGCCCTCCGTTTTCCCCGAGACGTCGCACCGCGACTGGCACTCCGTTCCCAAGCACAACCTTGTACACAATACCCAGCCCTCCCTTCCCCAGTACGTATGCTGAAGCCCGAAGCAGCTCGTCCAGCTCGAACTCGAATCCCTTGTCCACGGACACCAGCCTCGCCTCCCCTGCCTCGTTGCCAACCGACTTCACGGCTTCGTCGATGTCGTCCTCGCCTTCCTCAGACAACGACGACGATGACGATGCTTCATCTCCTCGCCAGCAATGCCTGCATTGCCAGCGACCACGAACGAATCCCTCTCCGCCCAGTTTTCTATTCCCAGTGCAGCTGCATCCGTTGTGCCTCTTCCTGTCCTTCACCTTCCAGTAAATGTACACAAGAATTAATCCGAGAATCGCCACACCTATGGCATCTGCCATCGTGATTAGCACTATCAGCCCCGGCCGAAGTCCTTTGCTTCTCTCCGGCAACAATTTCGCCTCCGCAGTAGATCCCTCCCTACCCTCTGGCGCGGCAGCAGCGATGCTTCCCCCACCTGAGCAGGGTATTTGCAGCGGGAACCCACATAAGCCGGGGTTATTGAGAAAAGCCGTGGGACCTTGGTTCGCCAGTAACCCGCTCTGCGGGATCTCTCCGGAGAAATTGTTGTAGCGGAGATCCAGGCTCACCGCCGGCGGAAGTCTGCCGAGGGACGTAGGGATGGAGCCGGAAAATCGGTTGTGGGAGAGATTTAACGTTCCAGAGAGGGAATTGAGGTCGCCTATGTCGGAGGGTAAAGCCCCCTCAAACATGTTTGACGAAATGTCGAGCTGAACAAGGCCGACTATCTGAGGAAAGACGCCGGTAGGGATTTCACCGGAAAGTTCGTTACTGAAAAGAAGGAGGCGCTGGAGCTGGTGACAGCTGCGAAGATCACGAGGAAGCTGGCCGGAGAGGGAATTATGGGAAAGATCGAGATTCTGCAAGCGTGGAGGTTCGCAGATGGAGGATGGAATGGGGCCAGATAGGTTGTTGTCGTAGAGGAAGAGGGAATGGAGCGACGTAGCGTTGAAGAGTTGGGAAGGAATGGAGCCGGAAAGGCTGTTACCGTGGAGGTTAAGGCGGCGGAGGAAGATGAGTGAGCCGAGCTCGGATGGGATGTAGCCGGTGAGGTTCTTATCGGTGACGGCAATAGCTACCACGCGGTTGGGGTCGGGGGAAGAGGAGAGATTGGCACAAGTAACGCCGGGCCAGTGGCAAGGATCATCTTCGTCCTCAGCCCATGAAGCAAGGGCCGAGGAGGGATCCCCCGAGATTGCAGATTTGAATGCGAGCAGGACGAGGCCGTCCGGCGAGATGGCGGTGACGGAGGGTTTTAGGGCATGGAGGATTATGGTTGAGGTTATCGCTATAAGTGGGAATATTGGCAACGATGAGGGGAATGTTGAGAGACGCCGCATCTACTGAGAGTTGCACAGAGTTGCAGAGTTACTCTGCTGCTTTCTGCAATGGGATGCCCTCAGGCCTCAGTAGTGGGGAGGAAGGTGGGGAGGAGATGGTGGAATGAATATACTGAGAGCTAGGTTAAGATGTCATTGGGGTTCTTTTTTGTTATTGTGGTACTATAGTTATTCTAATCATTCGCTATTGAGTAATCAACAAAAAACTGTTTTTGTATTTGTATGTTTGCATACTAAAATATTTAATACTTACATGCACAAGATTTAAAACTTTACACAACATTTGCATACAAAATCTTTTATGTATAGATTTTGTGGTGATTATGATACTAAAGTATCATATATAAAGTATCAAATTAGGTATTATTTATTTAAGTACATATGTCATATGTATATTACAGAAATGCCAATACGAATTTCAAAGTGGTCGAGCAATCGGGAATTCGGGTATACGCGTGGGCCCTGGACAATAGAACATATAATCCATATGCAAATTTGTCGACTGATTCAATGGAACGGTCGACCGACATGACCAACCGACCAATAGGAATCCTTCATCGAGTAAAGTCAGTCGACCGACAAGCTTACCAACCAAAAGGCCACTGTTGAAATCCACTCAGCCTGATCAAGCGATCGAATCTTTGAAGGGAATTCAGTCAGTCGTCATGGCCGACCAGCACGCGCTTACGTTGAACGATCAACATAACTGGTCTATCTCAAAGCACTGGTCGACCAACCAGGTGTTGACTCTCATTTTTAATATCATTTAGTTTGAATAAGAATCATTGAGATAGTTATGGAAACAGTTCTTTAAATACATGTACTTGTATTCTAAAACTCTTATAAATAGAATGTCCTGACATCAATTAAGGGACTTTGGAACTCTTATACTTTTGGATTCTAGTGCTTTGAGATCCTCACACTTGTGAATTTTGACACTTGAATATTCTCTTGCATTTTTAGCCCTCTCTCTCTCTCTTCTCTACCCTCAGCTCTAACTCGGGGCGTGTTCACTGGAGGGCAATCTTAGATTCAACAACCTAAAACATGGTGCGGTGAGCATGAATATGTCATAGACGCGAAGTGGAATCAATTACAACGGAGAATCACAACAGAGAGATCCAGCTGAGACAGAGTTCAATATAGAATCCATGAACAACAAGATCCGTGCTTATTATTATGAGTAAACCTAGCCAAGGCAAAGAACCAATCGGTCGTACAGGATTACGAAGTAGTGATGATTTTTAATGTGAACCATTAATCAGTGTAAGATAGTCGATCGACCAAAGTTAAAGTTTTCTACGATCGTTAAATTTTATCGATCTATCAAAATAAAGTTGCTCAAAATTATAATTTAAATTACCGGTCGAACATTTTATTTGATCGGTCTTTTAAGGTTAATAATTGATCAATTTGAAGATATGCACCATTCAAGTTCGAGATTTAACTCTGGAAGCGATTCAATATATGTCAGCGACAATACCCATAGTACTTTATTAAGATCACAACAAATGCGAGTCTCTCCAGAGGCGACAATCCAATCAAACAAGTTCGAATGGAGCACGCTCATCGATTAATTAAAAATGACCGACTCACTTCCGAGTTGAGCAAAAAACCTGATAGTCAAAGATCTCTCACAAATATTGAGAAACATACACAACATCGAGCAAAAACCATTTATATATGCTGAAATGCTTACAATTTTTTTGCATGAGTTTTTCTTTAGACTAACTAAGAAAATACAATTTTTTTTTAAAGACAAGGAAATTCAACGAGTAGCTGATTGATCTTCTTCCCTGCTGCTTTTTTCAACCTCTTCCTCCATTGATCCCTCGGCCTTGTCGCTAAAAAAAACTATAAATTTCTCTGGCTAAGAATACTTATCGTCCATCAGGTCATGGTGGATAAATTTTTCAACTACAAAATCCATACCACAATGATAAAACTTTGTCAACTCCGCTCAACTCCTTCACATGCTCTTCGTACAGAACAGACGAAGCAACTTTCGGCTGACTCTTTCATTTTCACGGTGACATTTTCAAGCGTCACTCGGAGTTAATAAAAAGATTTGCTTTTAGTGAGGCGGTCCTCTTATTCTCTTTTCTCACAGAGTTGCTCAGTATCAGACTGGAATGTGAGCTGCTTGCATTGTCGAAAGGTTAAACCAAGATGTATGTTGAATCTTCGCCGCACGACTCAGCTCCTTGAACTCCATGGTGAAGTTCTTTGACCAAACCAGTTCCAGAAAAGCAGACATAAGTCTAGCAATCTTCATACAATTAAGATACCTATCTTTGGAAGTATCCACCATATTGTATCGATCGTTAGAACCGACCATAACATCCCATCTCCCCCTTTCATCGGGCGCCACACAAGGGATTCACTCTCCAAGCCTACTTCACAGCTGGTCTTTTCTCCGAGACAGGGGTTGGGGCTCAAAGCCAGCGAACATTTCTTGGCCCTGGTCTGGAGAGGAACTAGAAGCGGAAGTAGGCTCGATGCAGGTGGCCTTAGTCCTCTCTGATAGATTAATAAAATGAAGATCGGGCTAGCGGAGCAACACTAATCACTGTATGATCAGTTGTGAAGTGACTCATTAAGTGGACTAACAAGTAGAAGTGTTAGGGGCTTCATCTCCTTCAGAAGCCCCTTCATCAATAGAAGACCTCTCTCCCTCGTTTTTCCATGCATTAACCAAATGAGATCGAGAAATAATGATGACCTCTCCCGTCACCATATTATGAATAACCACAATGGTCTTAGAACAAAAGAACAATGAAATTTGTACCTCTGGTGTCGACCATCGCAGAGGCCACAACACCAAGGAGTGGACCTTGAAAAACATATTCTATAAGATTACTTACAGTTGAATGATGCTTTGGTTTTTGTTGCTTGGTTGCGAGCTTCGCCTTCGCTGCTTTTGCTCGCTTGACATAAGTGGTGTCTGAGGCATATCATCGGTCCTGAGTCATATGACCATTTAGCATCCCGGTGACTGTCGCTTATGTAGTATTTTGTGGGATCAAGAGATGGTGTATGTTCAGCATCGCGTCGACAACGTGCGTCTCCTTGGAAGGGACTTTAGCATGTCCCCTGCCGGCTATGATGACTTTGTCTGAATACCCTAGCCACTGGAGCAGGACCCAATCATAAATGGCTTCATCCAATCCTTTATTTTATTCTCAACTTCAAGCAGTTGGTGTTTCTTGCTGGCTGAGAACTTGGTGAGTCCTTCCTTATCAACCTTAAACGAATAAAATAGGCTAAATAGGTCAGTTGACCAGGTGGTACCTTCTTAGCAATAGAAGATCATCAAGGCCATTATCACAAAAATGGAGTTTGACAGCACTTCGGTCAGAATAAATCCATACTTATTGACGGCATTCCAATGATTGGGGCACAGGTGCAGTCAAAGGCCACACTGTAATTGACCTCGATAGAAGACCAGATTTGAACCCACTTAGTCTGTCGCATGTGTTAACCCCAACGCTCTTCAATGTATGATGTTGTCATATAAAACAAACCTCCTTTGTAGCTCCCTCACATCGTTATCTGTCAAAAATGAAGGATCGGTATTCGTGATAAAACCAAAGAGGGTGGCAGAATACTTGGTAGCCATTTCAAGGAGCAAGGAGACAATTAGAGGAAAAAGAGTAAAAGACTAATCTACATGCAGAGAGAAAGAATTCAGAAAGTGTAAAAAATAAAAAACGGCCCCTCACCCAATTTATAGGGTGGGCACACAAAACGAGATGTCATATAATAATAAGAGTCACACCAAACATCATTTCATGATCATTCAAATATAGTTTTATTGCACATAACAACATTAAAATTTACAAAGAAAAAACTTTATGAAAGTGACTTCCTCCGCATCCGCCGAGGCATACCACTTCTGAAACATCCTACGGAAGATCAACTCTCCACCCAGCTTGATATGCTCTAGCCAGTCGACATTATGATCAAATCTATTTAAAACAGTCAATTCACAGATGGGCCCAACGTAACACACACGTAACTCATAGAACTTTTAAGTGACACAAGCTCTCCGGTAATGTCAGCAGTCTGTCGCTGTAAAGCAATGACCTCTGCTTCTAGGCTTTTGCAGCGAACCAGCCACTCTAGCACGGATACTTCGGCTAGATTGACGACCACTTAAGTTGAGAGGCCAACCATCTCTTTCATCTGAAGCTCCAATGACTCAGAAGACCGTTCCTGCTGAAAGTTGGCAAGGAAGACGATCTACTCCCATAGAATCTGGTCAGCTGCAAGGAAAACCATGATTGGTCCCAGAGGTGCAGCCTTTACCACTGTGGTAGAATCAACAACGTGCGGAGGCGGCCCACTATCAACACGTGTCTGTGGAAAGCTTGGTTCAACAGTATCAAGGATAACGTCAAAAGATTATTAAAAATTATTTTTTCAAAAGAAATACTTTTCTAAACCAAAAATCTTATTTATGTCAAAGGTAGTCATCAACTCTTCCCCTCCTATAAGTAGAACCTCTCCCTTCTTACTTCGTATGGAAGGTGAGGGAAGCTCAGGGAGTGCCTTTTCCTTCGACCCCAACTGGCCACCCTCAATAGGAGGGGTAGCCTGTCCACTTTCTCCAGCAGCTACATTAACACTTGAACCAAGCGCCAAGATAGGATTTTTCGTCAACATCCACGGCCGAGCGTTAGGACTATCAAAAGAATCGACCTTATCAGTCGACTCAGGTTCGCATGTCACTCGCTTCATTTTCTTAACAATTCCTTGCTTTTTCTTTTCAATCACGGAAGGCACAAAAAAGACCAAAACTTTCCAAAGTCAGGAGATAAACATTCATTTCCTTATTGCACGAACTCTTAACCATTATGCTAATCGAAAAGCGTGAATATAATGTGAAAAAAATGAAATTAGGCTAACTTTGCACCCTTATATATAGGTTTTATTGGGCACAAAAAACACGGAGAATCATTTATCAAATTATTTTTTCCAATTCTTATGTCATTTATCGTGTTTTAGTTTTTCTATTCTTATTGTAGTTTTCACTATCAAGGTGCAAGAAAATCAGAGAACTAATATGCATATGACAGGAATGTCAACATGGATCTCACAGTGATCGAGCGATCAGGAATTGGGGCATACACATGGGATCCC